GGGTTTGAACCAAGGACCTGCTCGCTGAGAGGCAGCAGCTCTACCAGTTGTGCCACCTTGCTGCATATATATAAATATTAAAGATAAAAATAAAAAACCTCCATGTCAACCACCGACCAACTCCTGCAAGTTTGACCAAGAACAAGGTATTGTTTTTGGTTACTGGATCTGGTGGGTTCTGGGGACTGGAGGCTGTAAAAAATAAACTTTTATTTTGTTCTACGGGAGGAATGCTTGTGTCTTTCCTTTCTCTTTTTTTTATTTTTTTTTTTACAAAAATATATACTAAACAACCTTTGTAAACAACCTTTTGAGGTTTAAGTCAAATACTTCCTGTCCAGTCAATAACTGATAAAACCTAACTAAGATAATCAAAACTACATTTAACTATTACAAGAACATAAAATAACAAACACAACTGATGCTAAATGTCATAATGTTTTTCCATATTATTCCATCTGATGACAAATAACTATTCTCCTTTGACACCACCTGGCAACCTCCTATTTCTTTCAGATTGCGCCTTCTGCATAGGAAATGATCTGTGGTGTACTTCCAGTCTTATATATTGCTGTGTGTCACTCTGTTGTTTAGATGCATCTGTAAAAACATTTTCATCCTTTTGGAGAAAAAAAAAATCAAGAACCACCCTACATTTCTAATACAGTATCTCCCCAAACCCTTATCTCTTTCCTTCAGCAACATGTCTACTGAAATCTGCCCCAATCACCTCTTTCTCATTCTGGGATCACTAAGAATCACTTCTTACAATTTAAAAACTAGAATATTAGCACTTTTCACTGGTACCTCAATATTTTTGAATGTTTTATGTGAATAAGACAGGTAAATGGGAATGGGAATTTCTTTGCCAATTAGAGAAGATACCAAGTTGTTCTGATGGAATCATTCCATGTTCCTGCTTTTTGAAACAGGATAGGTTGATTTCATTGCCTTTCATCAAAACAATACCACACATTCAGTTCACTCAGACTGAACAGTTACAAGTCCAAGAGAATAACAGGCGCTTTATGAGCCCTTGTTGATATCTATGCTTTATCTTTTTCACAAATGAACCCTTTTCTTTGTAATGCTGATATATGACTATAGACCTTACCCGTTATACGTGGAAATGGCTAATTATTACACCGATATACAATAT